TTATATATATATATATATATATATATATATATATTACAATACTACTGAAGTAGCAATGCCTCCCTTGTACCAATTTGAAAGACAAATAATCAGGTATGAATGTTTTGACAATACTGTATATAAAAAAAAATTCAGAAAACAAATATTACATATATTTTCATTAATTTCTGTTGTTGTATATCCTTCTGTTGATCTTCTGCTATTTTTATTTGAATAAGAAAAAAAATCTCATTAAATATAGACCGTTAAGGATCATTATGTTAAATTCTATTCTAAACTCCATTTTTGTTTAAGCCTACTGATAAAAAGTTATGCTAAATGGTGAATTTTTATAACAATGAGTCCTATTCACCTGCCAACTGAAGTAACTGCTTATAAAAAAATCAAGAATTACATTAAACATAAAATATAAGAAGTCTGAAGAAAATTAAAGCTTTCTTAAGAAGTTCTATACTGTTCTACCATTCTTTCAAATTACAAGAACTGGAGGATTCCAAGAGAAAATGTTTTAGATGCATTTGGACATGAATAAAAAATTCTTGGAATACCATGTTTTTACAAATAAATATCTGTTCAAACAATATAATTTAATTTCAATGTAATATCAATCAGTTCAGAATAGCCTTTTGATATTTTACCTCATTTAATTTGAACAAAGGAAATATATTTCTAATATACAATTTACCGTCTAAACAGAAATTTCTCTTTGGGTGAGGGCATTTTGGAAATTGTAATTTGTGAAAATAATTATCTAAGTGGACATTTTTTGTTTAGTTACAAAAAGTTATACTATACAAGAAAAGTCAAGTACATTGTAGTTTGTAATGTTGTTCTTGAAAGGTGCTTATAGGTGGATAAGCATTTATTTCACTGTTTAACAAAACAAGTGTTAGTGTATAATCAGTATGACCTTATTTAATTTCAACAGTGATAATTTCCATAATTATCTGTAGAATTGAGGCTTTCCATAATGTGTTCTTGTAAATTGCTGTTCTTATTTGAATTCATTTTCTTCATCCTCGAGGGTGTATTGTACATGTAGGCCTGAATAAACATCTGTTAATAAAGAATAAAGTGTAAAATATGATTTTGAAAACTTTCTTCATCGGAGACCAGTTTGCCTCTGATGATGAATGGTCCACCTTTTGAAAGTTTTTGAGTTATAGGGTTTTGTATTTTTGTGTTAAATTTATTTTTGAATCTACATGGTATTGTAACATCACGAACAATTTTGAAAAACTGATAATCTTAATAAATGTTAGGAATTATTACAAGTTACAATAATTTTATCATTGTTTAGTATTGGTTATCTTTAATTTCTAGATCTGTTGTTTTTACTTGTTATATATTTTAAATATGTTATTGCTTGCTACCTATTTTTTATTTTATATATTTTAGGTGTAAAGTAGTAATGGTTATTTTAATTTCCTCTCAGTCAAGTTCAGCAGCTGATAGTCCTGCTGTCATTCGACGGCGAGCAGCTTCAACCTCAGAGTCTTCTCCAAAAGTTAAACCTCCACAGCGTCCACATTCTGACACTGGTGGAAGTTTGGCTGAAGCTTTATCTGTAAGTCCTCAGAAAATTTTCTTTTTAAATTATAAAACTTTTAACATAAATTTGAGGCAGTAATAGTTCACTGTTTGAGAAAATGTGTAGGCTTTACTCGTGTGTTTGTGTGAGGGGGTGCTTTGTTAAAATAAAATTTAATATGTTGTTACCTTCAAATTTCATGATCAGTTATGAAGTTTTTTTAAATAAAGGATGGATTAGGCTTATTTTTTAGATTTAGAAAAGTAGCCACATTGATGTATTATTATTATTACAAGGTGGGTATTTCTAGTTACGTATCAATAAAGATTTACAACTCTTATTTCCAAACTCATTTGTTACTAGTCAGAGCCAAATGTTACAGTAAATAACTGTTGTACTATGATGTATTCACATTACGCTACTCAAATAATATGTTATGTATATGTCAGATCCAGCTGGGTGAAAGATCAAGAAGTACAAAAGAGAGAAGGCCATCATTAGATCTGTCCAATACAGGACTTCTTCAGTCATTACAGAAAGTACCAAGTGTTGAGAGGGTAAGTATGGTTTAGTTGCACTTTAATAGTCTGCTACTGTAAATAGGCAGTAGTGTTAAACTGAGTCCATTATTTTCTGGTATATGTTAGATATAGTACAGATTAATATTTTTTTTTAATTGTTTAACCTAGATTTAATTTTTGTAAGTTCTGCTTTTTTTTTGTACAATTCTACTAACGCTTACTAAGTTTGTAATATTTTGTTAACTAAGATGACTAGGTAGTTTGAAACTATAAACTTAACTTTCTAAAGATTGTGTTATTTCTAAAAAAATTATTTTCTGTGTATGAAGCTACATTTTGTTTCTTTTGTTTTTTAATGGACATTGTGTTGATATAATTTCTTGAAAGGTGTGCTTTAATGCTTAACTTGTAGTTTATCAGTTGATAAGATGAATTACTTTAATGTGACAAAGCTTTCCACAGAAAATGCTACCCCATTCTCTGTTGTAACAACTGACTTGGAGAATTTCTCAAATATTTTTTAACAGTGAAGTCATTATAAATGACTTTCCACAACAACATTCAAAATTTAATTTTCTACATATTGATAAATTAAACAACATGTTCTAAAGTACTAATGTGACTTTTTTAGCAAATGTCAACACCTCCACCAATTAAAGTTCGCACAGAAAGATCCAGACCACTGCTTAGAAGACATAAGGCACGATCAAAACTCAGGCGCTCCATTAGCCAACCTTTAGATCTGGAAAAGCTGGGAGTGGGTGTGAAAATTGAGGATAATTTACATGGTATTTGTGTCTTTAATGTTTCTGTTTGTTTTTTTCATCTGTTATACTAAAAGTCGTTTACTAATTGTTTTAATATCTTATGTACTACTAAACAAAAATTGTAGTACAAGAATACTAATTTTTTGCTGAATTAACTCTTTCTAGAACCAGATAAGTAGAACTATTATGTAATTATGTAAATGCTTCTGACCATGTGGCAGTGTTTTGTTGGCTTAAAAATATTTTTGTTACATTTATGTTGTTAATAGTAATTTGAAAAGAAATGTTAATAATTGCTTGAAATAAGTAAATTTTGAAGATCACTTTGTAAAAAATTCACATTTTTCTTCATAATTTAATGGATTTTCAAAAACATTTGATGGTTTGCCAGATTTGGCTATAACCACCATCACTCCATATTTGTGTGTGTATTCTTTAAGAATTATACTGAAACTGAAGGTTTACAGTCTATAACAATTTTATTGGGAATTCTTACAGAATCGCTAAAAATCTCTTAGAGATGTATAGAGTTGCTCATCAAAAATGTTTATTAATTTGTAGAGTGTGATGAAAGTAAGTTGGATTACACTGGCAAGTTTAATCTTGATGCTAATATTTCTAAACATTCTAGTCTTCATAGTTTTAGGCTAGATAATCATGTATTTACAAGTGTTTAGAAAAGTAAAACTTGTAAATAGTGGGTTGCAGTTATGAGCATAACATTATAACTTTTAAAGTTAATCAAATATAGTAACAAGTATGTTACATCATAAATAAATATAAAAGTATTATTGTAAACCATTAAAGTAGCTTTATTTTGATGTAATATAATAATTAGCTTGTTGTACCAATATATTGTTTTACAACATTTTAGAGCAGTTGTATTATTTCCAGACATTTATGTGGTCCTAAACAACAAAAAAGAAAGCAAAGTGACATAACATTGATTGATTATGCCAAAGATGCAATATCTTCATGAACTTATAGTAATAAAAGAAAGACTTTGGAATACTTTTCCAAAGATAAAATGGAAAATTTTATCATTTAATTTACTAAATTCTTATTTTCAATTAGGGATTTCAGACCATAGTGCTAGTGTGGCATCTTCAGATGATGAATTTTCTTCAGATGGAGAGGGACATCATGCATTTTCAAACAGAGACACGTCATTCAGAGAAGTAGGTAACTTTTTATCAGTTTATTTTGTGTGTGTGTGTGTTGAAAAGTTTCTTATTGTGTAGTTCGTGTTTAGCCCTTTCACTACAGTAACAATTTCTATTCACAGTGCAGAACTTCGTTTTTTTTGGGGGGGGGGATTTTATGATGTTGCAGTTTTTGCTACCTAGTATGATAGCCAATAAAACAGGTTGTTTGTGATTTGATGGTAGAATCATTTGTTTTATAATATAATGTTCTTTTAGTAGCAATCAAATTGCTTGCATGTGGTCTTTAGCTTACTGCTGTTAATTACATGAATTATTAATTTTTATATACATACTTGTAGTGCACATTTCACATGTAACCAGTATTGAAATGTATATGGGATGCATCTTGGGACTTCTTTTATATTCACTGCTTTAATTTTTCTGAAATGATAGGAAGGGAAATTATTTTTCCTTTATTTTTTCAAGTTTATCATAGCTAAGATTTGATATACAGCCGCAGAAGTAAAGCAGTGATTATTGGAGAAGCTACAGGATTTATTTCAAAACGTTTTTGAAAGTATGTTATCCTGCTGAAGATATGCAGTAGTCACAAGTGATCTACACAACACATAATGCAGTGTAGTATTTGTGTAGCTTTGGCAAATACATCTGTGGAGATATAAGGTGAGAAGTTAAGTATATGCCACAGCTTCTATGATGCAATACACACATATACAGACAGATATAATACTGTAGGTCCTAAGGCAAAATGTGGCAGAAAGGTTAATTGATTTATTCTATCTAGAACTTAACATGCTTAAAGTAATATTCAAAGTATGACAAGGTACACTTTTAATGATTAGGTAAATACAACTAATTAGGGACTGGGCTTTATCACTTATATGTTTAAATGCACTACAGTTGTTGAGTGATTTTACTGAGAAAAATATAGAACTTGCTGTAGTCCTGTGGAATGTAGAACTCATGACTGTTATGTATACATATGATTGTTGTATACAGAATAGAGGACTAACTGTTATTTACAAAGGGTTGAGTACATTATATTAAAGCAATTTTGAATGTGAACAAGCAAGTCATATGACAACCACATCAGATATAAAGTTGAAATGTAATGTATCAGAACTACATTTTGACATTGTTTGCTGTTTCATTGGTAGTGTGAGGTCACCTAAGATGGATTGTCTATAGGAAGGGTATGTCACAACCCCTTCTGATACAAAATAGTTATACAATAAGATCATAAAGATGTCTTCAGATCAGGGATTTAGAATTAGTATTCAATTTAATGGCATTGGAAAACAAAACAATGTGGATCAACGTGATGAACCAAAACCATTCAGAAAGAGACATGAAACAAGTTGTACTTCAGCTGTGGTAAGCAAAGTGTGGTGTCCCGTAACGAGTAAGAATCTATAAACAGAAACTGTTTAAGTACCCAAAGCAACAGTACACTACATAATCAAGAAGCTTTTCCATTTGGGAACAAGGAAAACAGGGTATGGGATCACCAAGATAAGGCTTTCATCATATTTCCCATTCAACTGTCACATGCTTCAAGCATTGGAAAATGAAACGGGTATTTATGCTATTCCATATGAATACATACCAGCTATGTTGCTAGATACCTTGGCTATAGATTTCTGTGTAATGTGACTGTTGAACAGGGTGCTGTGAAACTATCATCTTCATACAGTAGATGGAAGCATGCAGGTTGAAAAGGTGTGCTTCAAACATGACAGCCTTGCAACATAGCCTTTTGTAATGGAAACTATTATCGAGATACATGATTGTCAGATAGAGCATGACCAAAAATGGCAACATGGACTGTAACAATGTAATGAGGCCCCAAAATTATTTTGATATAAAACATACTCAACCTTTATAGAAGAGAGACTTCATTGTTGTTGTGTAGAATAGAGGACTAACATTTGTCACATATGCTAAAAGACAGCCTGTTATATTAAATACAGGATTAACTTAATATTCATAATTTGCAAAATTAACTGTTACACTAAATTAGTTAACTTCACTTAAAGAAAATGTTACATACTTCTTAGCCAAAACTAAATTTTGCAGTGTAGTAAGGTATCAAAAATGCTAAGATTTTTATTTTTTTATGATTAGAAATGTTTTTAATATCAACTATAATTTTTACAGAATTCAGGGGCATTTGTCTGGTTTTGATTCAGTGTTTGTCTGAGTAATAAGCCCTTTAGATGTATTGTATGTGAAAGTTTGTTTCTGTAATGCTACAGTGCATCTTAAAATATAATTAAATTTTACTCTGTGAATTTTATATTAAAAAATATTTTACTCTATGTTAATTGTTCTTAACTTGAAACAGTTATCATTATTTGATTTTGACTTTAGTTCTAAACTTTGATTGTTAAAATAGTCATCACAATTAATAGCACAGAAAAGATATTGCTGACACAATTATTCTAATCATAGAAAATGTTAATTTTTCTTAAGATTTTAAAAATTTAATGTTAGGCTCCTACCTTTGCATGCCTTTTTCTGTTCATTAACTGGAAGTTTTGAATTAAAGCACTCAAGAGATTTTTAGAAAAAAAATCTTTTTTCAAAGAAAATATTGAAATAAGTCCCTAAATCCAGGTGTATGGGGATTCTGTCACCTTTGCTGAAGCCCTTTGGGATCATGTGACAATTGATACAGAGGAATTAGCCTTTAAGGCTGGTGAGGTGATCGAGGTAACTGATTCAATGGACAAAGACTGGTGGTGGGGTTCAGTGGCTGACCGAAGTGGTTGGTTCCCTGCTGCATTTGTTCGGGTAAGTTGTTTATTGTTTATGCTATCAGCCCACTGGGAGTTTGAAATATGTGGTATTATATAGAACAAAGGCAGTCTAGAATTGATTTTATTTAGTTCTTGTTTACTACAAAACTAAAATTATCTTTGCAATTGGTTTGTAGTGCAACTGAAGTAAGAGATATTTCAAAAAGATGAGAAGATACACCACTTCGATTCTTTACTTTCCAAATATACAGTCAACCTGCATATTTGGAGAAATACACAAGTCTGTAGATGATACAGTACAGTCCGAATAATTTATGGAAAAATAAAATAGAGAGATCACACAGTTGGTTTTAAAAATATAATTTGACACATAGTAAAACATTCTACATAGTAAAAAAAATTCTGTACAGTTGGCTTTAAAAATATAATTTGACACATAGTAAAACATGTAGTAGCAAACATTAAATATATTACAACATATTAAAAATGTTGATTGTTAATTATGAATGTTAGTTATGTTTTTAGATATAACCAGATTTCAAACGTATTTACCAGTTACGTGTAAACCAGGAAGATACAGTTGAGGACTGTATTAGTAAAATGGCTGATGGAACACTCACAAGGCAGCCTCCACGTAAGATGAGCGTTAGTTTACTTAGCAATGAGCAGGTTCGAGCTAATGTAATTCAAGAGATTATAAGCACCGAAAAGGATTTTGTTCAGCACTTAGAAGATGTGGTAGAGGTATGTTGTATGAAACTGAAGGTGTAGTATGTTTTTGTAAAATATGTTTTCTAAGGATAATTAGAAGGTTTACTATTATTTTTGACCATCATTTTGTCTAAATGGTGTGAATATTGCATATTGTACAAAAATATTGTCATTATCAATTGTTTAGGGCATAATCATGCTGTCTTAATTTTGTTTAAGGAGTGTATGTATGTGTGCATGCTGAATTTTATTGAGCTGTGTTGTTTCAGTTTGAAGTTTGATGTAATGTGAATAATATAAACTCTGGATGTGGTGGTATGTTAAGAACTTTTGTATGGTTATGGGGTATTGTATTTTATGAAAGATTTTTCAAATAACTACTTTATTTAAAAGAGATTACATTATTAAAAAGATCATTTTTTGTTACAATGATCTAATCAGAAATTAGGTTTAGACCTTTTTATTTATGACCTCGCCTTTGTTAATGATCTGTTGTTTAGAAATAAGGTGATAACATTTCAGTTCTGGTTTTGTAACATTAGTTCCTTGACTTAACCATTCATCTTGATACATTTCTTTTAGCATTAATAAGAAGTTAAAATATATAGTCAGGTGCCTCAACTAGTGCCAGAAGTTAACATGCAATAAAATACTAAATACTCGTATATATATATATATTTAGGAACATAATCAGTTTCGAGAGGAGTATGGGTTGGCCTTTTCATAGAGCTCTGTATTTCAGAGCTGGCTAGCCACATTCTAATATGTGTAATGCCACAAAATATTCCCTGCCTTTTACACTATGGATGCATTATAAGTGTAACAGTCAATTCCTTAGAATGGATAGTAGGTGGTTACCTTCCCTTTGATTAGTGGCTCAAATTTAGGGATGGCAGCATGTAGCCTAAATAGCTTTGCCATAAATACAAATATAAATAAGAGAAAATTTTGTGTTTACAATTTTTCTCTTTTGTTTTATATTTTAGAGATATAAGAATATATTGAAAGTAAAAGTAAGTCATATAACATTTGTGAAGTTAAATTGCATTTAGTGATTACTAGAGAATTGTATGAAATTTATAGTTGCTATCCTATGCTTAGCTAATGGAAGTAAAAACGAAATTATAGAACTATGATCTTGAAGTAAAGTTTTATATGTTTCAATTTGATTAATAAGTGTCACTTAACAGTGGGGAATTATAACTGAAGCTAGGTTTTGCCTCTTTTAAAGTAAAGGTTGGTCTTGAAGAAAATTTGTATAGTGTCTTTTAATTCTGTCATTGATATATTTTAGATTAAGCAATCATAAATTTGTTTGAAATGGAAAAATTCAATGTATATTTTTTGTATTTAAATTTCATTTATTATATAGGGTTACCTGAAACAAGTCCGTCGTCGACCAGACATGTTTTCAGCTGACAGAATCACCACAGTGTTTGGTAACATTCAAGAAATCTACAGATTTCAGAGCAGTTTCCTGCAGCAACTTGAAGCTTGTATTGACTGGGATGCTCCTTACAAGAGTCTAATTGGAGACTGTTTCTCTCAACATGTAAATATTCTCATTTGTATCATGAAGTAATGGTTGTAAAGCTGAATATCTTAAAAAGCATTTAGTTGTTTGGAATCAGCAAATTAATATATGAAATGTGGATATTTCATTTAGATTTTTTGATACACTTGTTAATGGCTTACAGAATACATATCTGATTACTTTTAAACAATGAAAGAATGCTGTAATTAACTGTCTAACCTCTAAAACTATTACCTCACTCACACACACAGTAAAGGAGCCTCTATGTGTGTGTGTGACTGCCATAGCTCTAAGAGGAAAGAACCTAGAGACCTGAAACTTTGCACGTATACTAAGAGGATTCTGATGGTGTGTATCTGGGTGTTATTTTTTAGATTTGACTCAAAAAAAATTTGGGCCAATTTTTTGCCCTTAAGCCCCATAATTCTGCTTCCTGAAGATGTATAGAAAAGTATTGTATTTGTTTTCTAATTCTCACTTACTGAATGAAAACTATGTGGTTTTATGCCAAATACTCTTTTTCAATCCAAACATGGAAAGAAAAATACAAATCTGAGAGAAAAAAAAAGCTGAAGTGAACTAAGTTTGGCAAGCAGAAACAAACAGTGGGAAGAAAAATTTGAGTCAGAGAATAGTGGAGAATTTGGAAAATGAAAACACAGGAAGAAAGGATACAAATCTGAGAAGCTAAATTAAAACTACTTGCTTTTAAAAGGAGTTGAATTGAATCAAGTTCTGGAAATGGCAACAGACAAATCAGTTAAAGAATTGGGTCATTGGAATAACTATAGAAGTAATTAAGATAATGGAGATGCTTGACTAGTACATTGAGGCCTCTGTAAATCATGAGGGAACCTTAGAATCCCACAGCCAGAGCATGGGTATTTTATGCTGGTCTATAATAAAGTTACTCTTTGTTTGGTAATACTCAACTCTGTTGTTAAAGTTCATATTGGCTCAATGGTCTGTCTTAAGTGGAATCTAAAGTTCAAATCCCAAGTGGGAATTTTTTATAACTTTTTTTTCATTTTATTAATTAACTCATCGTGTTTAGAAAAAGATATTACAATATTAGGAAAAACACAATAACATGACACTTTACATTAGAAATTTGAATGATTTGTTAACATTTGATTTCAAAGACTGGCTGTCACAGTGGTTATGGTGATTGACTATCATGTGGAAGTCTCAAGTTCAAATGCCAGTCAAGTTGGGATTTCATGTTGATTTTTTAAATATTCATTATCATATTTAGAGCATGCTTTTTGAATATTTGGAAGAATATTAATACAATTACATATTAAATAAGAGATAATATCATTTCATATTACACAATAAACATGAGTGACTGTATGTGTAAAAAATAACTTAGTCAGAAAAATTTATAACTGTTGTTAGTGAAAAGTTATACCTTTGTGAATTTGCTCTTCACCTTAAAATTCATAGTCTTTGCCATCACAATTAATAAATTGCAGGATTAGACTTTTGATGATGTAGAAATATTTCTTCGAGAACGATTTTTTTTGCATGGTTCAACTTATAAAGCTTTATCAAGGAGAACATTTGAATGTAACATAAAAATATACAGAAGTCCAAATTATATCTTACAGGAGATGACCAAATATACACAAAAACTGTTTTCGTGAAATATTTGAAAAATGTATAAACATTCTCCATGCATATACTGTTATTACAATATAATTAATTTGTAGAAAACATCCATAAAACATTTATTTACATTTAACTTTCAGAATGAAAAACAAATGAGCATTTACTGTAAAATGATGAGTGGTCAGTAAGTATATACACATGTATATGTGACAGTAAGCCTGATAAGTTGATGTCGTTTGATGAGTTATTAAAGGCTTTTTCTTAAGTTTTCTTATTGATAATTTTCTACCTGTTGATGTAGTAACTTTTATTTAATCAAATTTTCTTTTAATATAGAAGTCAATAATTGTTGTTATTTATCTTTCTAACAGAAAGAAGAGTTCAGAATCTACTCTGATTACTGTAATAACCATCCTTTAGCAGTCAGTGAATTACAAGAGATGTACAGTTATCCAAAATACTGTCAGTTTTTTGAGGTAATCCCATGTAATGCTGTATAATCTAATTATTTTTTTTTTAATTTTCTTGTTTAAAATTATATAAAAGGCCATGTTGTTCTGTAGTACAAGCATTTGTTGTTTGTTCTTTGTAATTATGTTTTGCTTTGATGACACAAACATTTATGTCAGGAATTTGTTAAAACCAAAAATATTATAATTATGAATGTTAGAGAATTTCTGAAAATAAATTCTTATAGTTGTACATGTATATCATGATATTGATTGTTATAATTAGATTGATTTGGAAGTGAATTAGTTCGTAATAAATCAAGTAAGTTAGTTCAGAGCCAGTCTTTTCAAAATACGTAATTACTGAGTTAGGCTACTGTTTTAATATTCAGATATTGTTTAGGCTCACAGTTCATGTCAAGAATAAGTTTAAAAAAATTGTTTCACTTTTACCAAGTTATAAGGAGAAAGTTATAGGGAAAGTAGGCTTAATTGAAACTGTTATATTTTAGGAATAAATAAGAAATAAATAAATAGTATTTTACATAACTATTAATACTTGATCTGCTTGTCACTTCTTTTTTTTTTAAAATAGTTGTTTGCAGAAATTTAAGCTGTTAGTACCTTAAAAATATGGAATGTATACTATTCCTCCAAATAAAGGTTTACTAAAAAGTAACGAATAAGTTTTGTTCTTGTTAAAAATTGTTCTCATACTAATGTACACAATTTGGTTTCTGTTGCAATGCTTTTAGCATTTTTATAGTACTCTTTAGCTCTTTAATTTAATGTGCATTGGGTTGTTCCATTGGACCAACCCTGTATTGGAAGAGGAATGTTGACTGTAATTCTAAATATGCTATATGTATCTTTATGATATATGACAAGCTTTTAATAAAACTTATAAATCGGATGTGTTACAAGATATTTCTGTGAATTGACAAGTCAATGTGCAAGGTGTTGTTCATGTGAAGAATAATAATACTTTTTGCATCGTATAATTTGCATAATCTCTAGAACCTTTGAAAAGCATATCTACAGTTTTTTCATTATCTCTATATTACATGGTATTTACTTTCCTCAACCAGAAACTGTCACTAAGTCAACAGATTAGGGTATCATGAATAATTTATAACACTGCATTCAAATATATAATACTGCATTGAATGGTACTCTTGTAAAGATCATGATATGTGTACTTTAAGCCACTACCTATACTCTTAGGGTAATTATTTTCTGCTTTTGAGGTGTTGGTATTCATTGATCCACATCAGTGTGAGAAAATGACATATTTCTATAACAAGTTAGATAGAACAGAGAAAATGCTTTCTGTTGTACGTGCATTATCACAATAATTAGCAATTAACTATAAGTTACTTTTTTTTCCTGGTCAACAAGCTATAATTTGTCTGTGAAACCTATGTCGTTGGCATTTACAGGCTTGCAGACTTCTTCAAGATATGATAGATATCTCACTTGATGGTTTTCTCTTGACCCCTGTCCAGAAGATATGTAAGTATCCTTTGCAGCTAGCAGAACTGCTCAAGTACACTCATGTTGACCACCCCGATTACCAGCCAGTCAAGAATGCCTTGGAAGCCATGCGAGAAGTGGCCCAGCTGGTCAATGAAAGGAAACGTAGAATGGAGTGTTTAGAAAGACTAGCTGAATGGCAGCAGTCAGTTGATGGATGGGAGGTTAGTGTGGTTAAAATATTTCCTTGTATGTTAGATGTTACATTCTCCATCCCTTCTTTTTTTGACAATGTGTATACAGATATAAATGTTTCTGTGTGCTAAAATTCTTTCTCTGCCTATAAGTTAGAAGAAAAAATTGTCTGTACTCAATGTTGGTAGACATTTTTTGTGTATTTTAGCATGGTTAAAACCAGATTCATATTTTTTCAAGGTAGTATGCTAGTTTCTTACACCTTCTATTATTCAAGAATATGAAGTTAGGCAAAACGAAATAGGAAATTTATAAAAAAAATAACCTCTTAATTTAATTTGAACAACAATTGTTTAATTTTTTGTTTGTATGGAATGACTGATTGGGTATCTAAAACTGGGCTGTTGTAGTCAGAAATAATTTTTCCTGTATTTAAAATTATACGTTATAATAATTTCTTTAAATTTTAAAGTTAAGACTTGATTGTTGTTTATTACAGGGCTAATTCCAGGAATTTGTGTGTGTGTGTGTGTGTGTGGTGGGGAGTCCAACTAGACTTTTACTAGCATTACTTATAAATTTATATTATTTTATTATTAAATATTTGTCCTCTAAGATATGCTCTTTTTAAAACTTCATTTAAAACTAACAACCATCTCCAACAATGTTGATGCTATGAGTACTCACCTCACCTACAAGGTTTGTGATTAGTCATCCTTGTTTATGCACTTGTTAACAGCAGAACTACTTTCTAACACCTCTTCTTCAACAGTTCAAATTAGTCATCCATGTTTTTGAACTTGTTAACATAATTCACAAAACAATGATTTTGTTAACAAACATTTAGAAAATAACACAATAAACTTATTCAAAACTCAAACAAAACATATTCAAACATGCTTATTGCATGTGCGTTTTATCTCTGCCTCTAAGTTATTAGCATAAAATGGCAAAGAATATTTAGAAAACTGGTTTTTACAAATCATTTTTATGCTACATTTCATGAAAATTACAATTTAAAAAAATTCTAACAACACATACACACAGAAATTAATGAGTGTCCCTAAGAATTACTCTTAGTATGCCTTACATCTATGCTTTTAATTGTTTTTGCTTATTTCTTTTCTCTCCTTTGTATTCATACACATTAGATGGACAGACATCCATTTTCCTGAGTGATATTATTCTGCTAGTAGAGTTGTGGTATTTCAAGCATGGTCTAAACTAAGGACTACTGAATTTGTATTACAAAAGTTGTTTACAAAACTTTCTTGCAAACATTTTCAATACTTGCACATCCAGGAACAAATTTTTAACTGCTCAAATGATTGAATCCTGGATAGTGCTAAGTAGAGCTGACTGAGAGAATAAATTGGCTCAACTAAGTGCAACCCTGACAGACAGATGTCTGTCTTCCCAAATTATATTATTGTAAAATATGGTGATGTAAAGACATTTGGCTGTTTTTTTGTTTATTTCTACACATTACTATAGCATTTTATATAGAATGTGGCTTGCTGAAAGCAATTTGAATGACATTACGTTAAAGTGTGGTGGATAGCTTTATGTCTTCATTTATAAACAGGTCTTTATATTGTTTTGAGCTTTCAAAAATCTTTTCAGATGTTTGTCTTTGAAATATTTTATAACTTTAGCAATTTAAATTTTTTAGGGCCCTGATCTTCTCACAACTGCTTCTGTTCTGATTCACAATGGGGACGTCACTCGTGTTTCTCCGGCCTGGTCTCGTGAACATAGTTTGTTCTTGTTCGACCATCTTTTAATTTATTGTAAAAAGGTATTCAGAAGTTATTAACTTATAGCTGATTACTAATATTAAACTTTAATTTTCAAGTAAGCATATCTATATCTTTCATTAACTGGTTTTCACAAGAAACTTATTTATAGATAGTTGAGAAAATACTATTAATAAGGAACTTTTTTCTCAAATTGCTATTCACATCTAAAGTAAACAATTATTATTTATCATTCTCCACTGTAGGACACTATCCAGTTTCTACATATTTCAATTTTACTGAAACAGATATTCCCTGATATTTTTATATTGATGTTGATTTTTACTTTTCAAATATTCTAGCATTTACATTAATATTTTAATAATTTTCCTAAACAGGATTCTATTGAGTAAATAAGGCAAACTGTATACTTGTATCTTTTAGTAGGTTCCAGTTAGTAAATAAAACAGTTTTTTTTATATTGTAAGGCATGTGTGTTTTATTGTGGTAAATAACACTATGCAGGAGAAGCATGAGAACTAGAAAAACAGTTTTTACTTTTGTGTTTTATTATGGTAGAAAATGCCTTATGCAAGAAAAGCATGATATATAGATTATTGATTTGTGTGATATTATAGTTGTTGTCACTCGGTTTGCTAATATAAACAGTGTCTCAACCAGTACTGGTATTGGGAAAAAGGATTTGTTGACACTGAATGTATTAGACATATACATTCTTTATTTCTTCTCAGACTCAGAATTTCTTATCAATAACTGAAATAAGATTTGTTAAAAATTATTATCAGTTTTATTATGATGTATGTGTTTTATGTTTGTATGGAGTTAAACAGTCCAACTAGGTCTTAACTGTAATATATTTCCTTGAAATAAGTCTATAGGTGAAATTACTTGCAGTTTATTTTTTGTATTTTTGAGGATTTAAAGGTAATATTTTTTTTTAAACAGATCTAGTATTATATGTTTTTTATTTACTCACTATTAGTTGCTTAGTTACATGATAATGACAGAACTCCAAATGTAAGACTTTAAGATGCTGTTCTTTATAAGAGCTTTATGATTATGAGAATTTGGGTATTTTCTTGTTTGAGAAGATGTAGAATCAATGAAAGCTATAACTAACTGTTTTTTGTTTCTGTCCATACATCTCTGGATATAAAAAGTAACAAAATAAGCTCACTTTTCTTAACTGTTATGATTTGAATTCATTTTGTAAACAAGTAAAATTTTTGACAAGCACACTCTTGATGTATGTATGAAGACACTGATGTTTATTCTGCACTTTTAGGCCAAAATTTTGAATTTCTTAAAGTTGCCCCAAGTTTTGTAATTTCTTGTTATGAGTTTATATTCTCATTTTGAACTCAAGGTCACTTTTGTGTAAGTCGGAGGCAAGATAACAGTATTTAAAGTGTAATACACGTAACAGTTTCAAATCTTAAAATAAAGAAAGTAACCAAAAAGTTAACACATTTTACTTTCTACAGGATCTATTAAAAAGGAACAACTTTGTGTATAAAGGAAGAATACCTTTAGATTTTTCCCAGGTTCTTGATGTAGAAGATGGAAAAGGTAAACATTTCTTTGGTATTTTCCTATTATCACTTCTGTGGCCTTCATGCTATAAGTTAAACTTGTGTTATATATTCATCTCTATGGCAAGTTTTGTAATTTAGCATGGTAAAAAATATCACAAATGTTTATAAACACAGTTCAAAGTTTAATTATAAAAGGGATAATAGTTAACAGATTTCTGTAGATTTTAAATTTCACCCACTTTTGAAATTCAATAATGGTAAACATAAAAATATTTCAATGGATTTTAATAGTGTGGAATTTGAAGATTAAAGATAATGAAATTGTGTTCCATTATTTGTTTCAGTCATGGGAAATAAATAGCAAGTTCAGCTTATCAAAGAAAGAAAAGATCAGCTACAGTGTGTAGATAATAACTTGCAGAAATTATTTTAAATAATAGATGGATATAAAATCAAAATGCATTGAACTTATTAAACAAAGAAGAAGATAAACTACAATGTACAGATAATAGCTTGCATGAATTATTATAAAAATATATGTTTGAATTGTACCAGATTCTCAGTTTGGAGTGACTGTGAAACATGCATGGAAGATCTATTGTGGAAGTAGAGAGAAATGGTTCATGTTTTACACCAAAACAGCAGCTGAGAAAGATCGTTGGATGCAGGCATTTAAGGAAGAAAGAAAGCTTGTTGAAGAAGACAAAGAACAAGGTATGTAGGTTTGGGTTCAATAATTTAAACCATAACTAAGTTGCAGATCACATCATATTCAATTAATTCTTATGTGGAAACTGTGAAAAAAAATTAGGCAAGTTGAAGTAGGTTTTTTCAGTAAATTAGTTTCAAAATATAATGAGTTGGATTTTTTTCAAGTGCCTAAACTTTATCACATTTGAAGCTTATTTTATTTTTTAACTTTGAGATGCTTACAAATATTGAAGGTATTGTCAATGAACCAGTAGGCTTTTGGTGTTCTCATGGCAAGTTTATTGTAACCAGAATTAAATATTTATGGCAGCTAAATGATAATGATATTAGGTTTTGACTTAAGTCATTCATACTGACTGAAACTTGGGTATTCGGAGCACATTAGTTATTTCTTCCACACTAAGATTGTTTGTATTAGTTTTCTTATTTGTTTGCTTGTCATAATTGTACAATGATACTAAATTCATAATTATTTACTTACTGTGTTTTCTTAGGTTTCATTATCACGGAACAAGCCAAAAAGGCTGCCAAGTTAGCCTTACTTAACAAGCAGAAGCCCAAGAGGCCACGAGGTAAGCAAAGCAAAGTTGAATATGGGTTGTTTATTATACTTTTTAAAACACAGTGCAAATTCAGTCATTAGATACCATCCCAATAAACTGTACGCATGTACATATGTACTCATGATTCTTTGTTGCTATTCAATTGAAAGGAACAGTTTCTGGATAAGACCCATATATGTGCCACATTTCTTATGCAAGCTCAGTTAGATGAAGATTTTAAACATAACTGACTGATTTTGTTGAGAGCATGTGTATCTGTGATATACATACATTCTTCTACATTCAGCAACAGAATTGAAATCAAATTACAACAATTCTTATCTGATATAAAATTAAAAATTAATAGATTTAAAAATTGAACAAAAGAAAAAAAACTTAAAATTTAGCTGTTCTGGGTGTATGTTACAGTGGGAAATTTGTACAATGAACTAGGATAGTCATCTTGTCTATTTGTGGTAGTTTTTGATGTGTATTTGTGGTACAAGTGAAAAGTTGAAGAGGATTTTTGTCCACACATGGTTACAAAGTAAATTTCGTATCTAAATCGACACTGTGCATCTTATAAACAAAAGGAAACTGTTGTACAAGATAAAAAATAGAAAAGTAGTAGCATTTCACTTGACTTCCAGTTGCAGTACAGTAAGAACACTGTTGTGATATAAGATCTGGGATTTTTGGAAACTCTGCTATCAACCAACCATGCCAGACCTGTACCATTCTGAGGTACAAGTTACAGAATCTGTAATGACAAGAAAAACGAAGGTTTTACTAGTATTAGCATGATAAATATAGGCTTTCAACCCTCTATGAAATGATTTCTTATATGCAGATTAGATGCTTAACTATAAAAGATCCCCCCCCCCTACTGGGCCCCCTACATTTATTCCCCTTGTCAACAATTCTTAAGTTTGTCAGTTCCTTCAGCCCCCCCCCCCCCCAAATACACCAATGGTGCCACTCTGGACGTAGTATTATGAGACTTTTTTGCATGTGTGTTAGTTTTATTTCATAATCTATGATTTCATTTTAAAATATTGTCTTATTAAATGTTGTTAAACAATGTAAATCATCATACGTATATCACACACTTCTGTATCTCATTTTTTACCCTAACATCAAGTTGAACTTGAATAAAACTGCAGCTTAAAATGTGAACATAAAACAAAGAATATCATATCAAGCCTGTACACAGAATATTTGAAAGGGGGGTTCTAGTTTGTGAGATCAAAAGCCAAAACATATTGTGTGAAGCACAATCAGCATGCTAATGCTATAGGGTTCTGGGGGTATGCAACTGTTTCAAGCCAAACAAATGCTAATGCTTCATCAGAAGAATGTAGACAATGTAGAAAATGTTAAATAGTATAAGCAGCTGTATTATAACTATATAAGCATAATTTGTTTACATTACAAAAAATAAGGGGTTTTCCCCCCCCGCCCCCGACTATATGTGCATGGGTATATACTATCTCCCTCTCCCCATCAATACTTCTTTACTTCCAAGAACTTCAGCTGAATTAAAATTACCAGGCTTATGTTATTATTACTATATTAGCTGACAAACTTGTATAGGTTACAATGTCACTTACTGTATGAATAATCACTGTTAACTGTACAAATATTATAGCTTAAATTAAAGTAGAACATTTGTAAAAGTAGGCGAAGACTGACTAAACAATCTATGTGTTCATATCAGTGTATGTAAAGAAATGCCATGATTAAGTAATGTGGAAGTACAAAGAACTACTTGTATAAAAATTATTAGCAAATATCATTGTAAGGTGATGAGAAATGTTCAGATTTATGTTTTAAAGAATTAATGCAGAGTGTAAACTTTTATTAAATAAACCATTGAGGTTAAAAACCCATAATAAAATAGCAAATACAACATAGTATTTATGGTCATATTTGTATAATATCCTTATAAAGATAGTATTTATGGTCATATTTGTATAATATCCTTATAAAGATAGTTTTATAGAATATTTTTTATTATTATTTAGAATGACATCTAAGTATCCATATATCTACAGTAGCTTTAAAGGTTGTTACGTGTACAACATGTAAGATGTAAAATAACATACGACTGTCATATTGTGATGGTTTCATTATATTAATGAACCATTTATAAATAATTTAAAACATGATGCAGAAATTAATATACCGGTAATTACTTTGAACTAGTTCGTTATGTTTGCAAATTATGATTAAAATCCATGATACGTTATAATTTCTTTAACTATTTTATGATTATGTGAAAATAGTTTTCATTCCCTTTGTGTGGTAAAAATTCAATTTATTAAAATTTGTGAAATGGAGAATGGTTAGGAGATAGTCTATTGTTTTTTTGTGTTTAATGTTTATCATTGATTAAATTAAAAAAACTAGATTTGTGGTTTCTATTAGAAAAAAAATTACTTTTAACAGTTTTGGCATTCAGGTTATTTAGGAGTATTTAACTTGTATGTAATCTAATGCTCTGTAACTTAATTTCTTCATAATTGCTTTTGTGTTATAGCAAAGATACCAAAGAGCTGTCGACCTCACCCAGATACTGCAGTGGTTGAACTTTTGCTTGACCATCCAGGGAGTCCAAAGACCAGGTCAGGAAGTCTCCCGTCCAATCTTCATCCTAGCTTGGTGGTGAACTTGGGAAATAGACACTCCCCACCAAAGAAAAAAGGCTCAGGATGGTTTCACTTTGGTAGTGGCAAGAAACCCAGAAAATAAACACTGTAATATTGAGACCAGTAAGCATTACATAACTCCAAATTGAACCAGTAGAAATTTTTCAATATATACTGGTTTGTTAAGTGTTGAGATGTTCAGCATTGGTGAATATGAAATGTCAAAATTCTGATGAGGTGGCTCTAAATTACTAGTATTTAAGACAGTCAGTTCCCAGGATGTGTGCCAACTGTAAAAATAATGTTTTTCTGCACTACCTGTGTTCTAGCTGCAATTTAAATTTTACACACTGATTAATGAGTTTTACAGTGTGTGTATGTGTGCATGTTTTACTCAAATTCCACTGTGTTGTATATAATAATTATGAAAAATCTTTGGTTTCTGTTGGGTGATCTTGAAACTATTATCGAGTGAAAAGAAATGGTCAGTGAACGTTTTTTTCTGGCCTTGAATAATTATATATATATTCAAGATATATTGTAGCAATATTAATCATAATAAAGGTTTTTTGCCTTTTATTTTTCTGTTTTTATGGATAAAAAAATGTGATCACACTACAAGGTTGTATGTCTGTAAGGTAGTTCAGTTACTTTTGTGAAAAATGAGGAATTGCTTAGTCAGTTTTTTCCACAAAAATATGAACCATTAAAATTTACTTTAGTTTTTAAACAGGCATAATTGATAGTAAAGTACTAAAAGCACTGAAAAACTTTATCTGCTCAGGAATACATTTATAAGCTGATTAGTTGTGTCAAACATAATGTATATACATGCTTGGCAAGTATTGCTCTATTTATAAATGATTAAAAAATACCTGGCTAGCCAGTGTTTTTTCAGTGTTGACCTTTGTTTTATTATTATTAACTTACAGACAGATTTTTTTCATTTTATAAAGCTTTTTTTTTTTAATATACGAGGCTTCACTTGTAACTTTTGGGGTGGTACACTGCTAATCCTTGTCCATTATATTTTAAAATATAATGTTACATATTTCCTTCCATCACTAGAAAGTGTGGTTATTATGTTATTAACAACTGGTATTGTTATGCCGATCATGTCGCAAAAACTTTAGCTCATAAGTGTGGGACTTGTTTCAGTGTGAAACAAATGTGTTCTTGGATAAGTAAGCTGTATAATGCCTTTTTACATGTCATATTAAATAATTATACCACATTTAAATATCATAATGTTATACATTCTTAGCTTGGTGTAGTCTTGTAATAGTAATTTTATATTGAATCAGTATTTGAAACTTAATCTTACTGTTTATTGCAGTGTGATATATTTTTTGATTTATTTAAGACTGTTTTAAAGTTCTCCTGGATCTTTATTAATGACTACTCCTTCAGACAAGAACGTTTATAGAAAGTCTTTCATTGTTATGCTTTAATCTTGTCATTAGCCCATTGAAAAGTTAGAAGTTGTCTAGTTTATCCTAAGCATTTTTGGGTACAAATGAAAAATGAGTAATATCATTGTATGGTTTATATATTTGCTTTCTTTCCATAAAATTGTATTATATTTTAAAGATGGAAAGTTGCTCAAGACATTTCTACTTCTTTCTTTTTCCTTGCTATTGAGTTAACATTCATTGTGGATATACATATATAATTAAAACTGTTTAATATTTCTCTCCCAATCATGTGTTGACACAATTGTATCGATGTTATGACATTTTTCAATGTTATTACTGTACACACACACACACACACATATATATATATATATATATTGCTTTAAGCAATCTGAAACTAACAAGTAAAGATAAGCAGTTTCAGAATTTGTTCTCATTTCTTGTGTACTTTATGGTTTTGAAAGAAGTGCTTGTGAACTAAGAGTCAAAGTAAGGATCTTTAGACAGTTTTGAAAATTAAAAATAAGAAGTATAGAAATTATCTAGGGTTCTGTAATGCAATATGATTTTATCACCAAGTTGTATTACCAACAAAAATGCAGTATAAAAAGTGATTTTATAATGTTACCAAAATTTAATGATATTAACCTTCAGAGAGTGGTTATGGATTACCACTTGCTGTTGGTGCATAATTTTGTTAAGGAATTTATTAACTGAAGATCAAGTTTTGAGACATTCTTATTATTTCCAAATGATCTACTATGCCACAGCACAGACATCAACAATTTAACCCACCTAGTAGCAGTTATAACAAATTGAAGCTATAAAAAAAATCACTTTCATTATTTTAAAATGTGTTTCAAAGGCAACTAGAAAAACATATTAACTACTGTGACTGAAAAAAACAAAAACATGATAAGGTTATCAAATAGATCACATGGAATTTGTTAATAGAATTTTGGTTTCATACAAATAGGGACAGGTGATTGTTGTAAAAGGTCCAAGAAGAGGGGGAAAAAAAAGGTGCATGACACCAGCTAGTATTCAAAAATTAAAAGGTGTATGAAAAAAAGTACAAAAGTGTTGTGTGTGTGTGCTTTTAAACATTCAAGTACATTCTCTTCTTGGATCTTTCTTTAGTCTTAGAAATAAGTGTGTGATATTATGCTTTTAAGAATAATTGAAAACAGTCAAAATAATACAAATTTCAGGAAGATTACACATTGCATACATTATAAAATAATAATATTACACATCTGGATGAATAAACAATAATAGGATAGCCTTTATTTGAACATTATAAGTTTTAATTACACTTGAGAAAATAGAAATTTCATAAAAAGGAAATATATACTGAATATTAATATATTATTAAGCAAATATATAATATGGATGAAAAGACTATCATCTTATTTTTAAGTTGATAGCATTGTTTTTGTTAACAGAAATTGCAATAACAGAATGCCATCCTTCAAATGTGGGAAGGAGCAGTAGTAATACATACAATATTAGTTTAAAGTGATATAAACCCCATATTGTGTCTTATTGAGAGTTGCAATACTTTAAACACTGAAACAGTTGTTAAATTTATGTGAAATGAAACATGTTAGTTGTAATATTGTTAAGTTTAATTATGAAAGACTGATGTTTTGGCAGTATAACATTGATGGATGCATTAGTTGAATATACAGTAAAAGTTGTTACAGAAAGACAAAGTGATTATAGTGAAAACCCAAGTATTAACAACTTTTAACATAAATAATGTAGCTACAAAATGAATTGTTAGTAAATGGTTGAGGTATGTAATCAGTAATGCTAATTTAATTTCTTTGTTCTAAACTATTAATTACCATAAAAAAAAATTTTAGATTCAGTCAGAAAACAGAATCATGAACACTTGATTTTTAACGGCTGAAATCTACTGACAATGACAAAAGTATTATTAGTTATGATACAATTTTGTTTAGGTTATGACTACTATCTAATAAATGTTTTCAAAATATTTGTTAATTGAGGCACCAAATTTAAGGTTAACTTGTTTGTTGATAGAATTACTACATGGTAGTCTTCCAGTATGTAGAAGCTGTAAACAGTAATCAAAAGGTGCTAGTCTTAGGTCTGGTGGGTTCCTTTCTGTCTTTATGAAAACTGTCAGCTCTAATAATGAGAAATTTGGACTTGTTCATGTGTCTAGTGGTGTTCTAACCACAGAGGAAATACTTTGACTTGTACATAGAACATAAAATTTGTTAAACAAAACACCTAGTGTTTGACTTATTATCATTTGGTGATCTGTACATAGCAAATTCTTTTGATCCCTGTGGTGTTTCTTGTGAATAAAGTATTTGTAATCATGAAAGAATAATATTATTGTACCTTTTTTTTTCTCTTCAAAATGATGTACAGAGTTTAATTACACTCAGATTAGCAAAGAAAGGTAATATGATAGTCACACAGATAATTATTCTGAAATAAATACACAGAAATGTTTAGAATATGCTACATAAACTATAATTCATGGTAGAAACATGTAATAAAACTTGTCCTTTCTCTTTCCCACAAAATGTTCATAGCATTATTACAAGCTGCTCTTCAGTTGATAAAATAAATTAATTTATGACTGTTGATTTAAAATCAAGACCCAATTGAAGTGCTATTAACTTTAATGATGAAATTACTCGAATACAATAAACAAATTCCAAAAATAAAACATTATTTATTATTTCATGCTTCACTTATTTTATCCTAAATAATTGTAATACTGCTTCAAAGTCACCCTATATTCAACAAAACCTGTGGGCTCCTATTTATTAAACATTTTGCCACTAAACTACTTTCATTCAAAATTTAGATAATTTTGAAAATTAAATCTTATTTTATTAATCTCAAATTATTAGTTTCTCTAGATGGAATATGTTAAAATGTGAATTACATTTTTTTAAATTTATGATTACAAGAACTTTTCACTTCAGATAATTCCTACCCCTTTTGGCCCAACCATTAAATACAGGACTAGTCAATCAAAATAATGCAGTGAAGTATAAGTAGGAGGATAAAGTTTTTACCGTGATGTCAAAACAGTGAAGACTTGATTTTTAATATGAATAAATTATAGAGATCTAAAGGAATATTTAATTTAGGTATATGTATTTATTCCTTTGTTTTTAGGTTTTATAATACTTGAACTTGTAAGGATGTTTTCCTTCAGCTGTTGCTGGATTAATATAAACAAAAAAAGGTTTCATTTAAATCTGCATAAGTGTGTGCATATTTACAAATATATAAAAATGTTAAGGAATTTCACATTTTGAAAACACAGCTAACAATACAAATTAAATGCTTGAAGGAGAATTTGACTTATTCTGTAACATGGTGTCATTACAAAGGATTTGCCATTTCTACTCTTGCTTGGTAATACGATAAAAGGTAAAGCTGGCAGCATGTACTATTTCAGGTTTGCTAAAATAATTTATAATCAACATGTTTCATTCAAATGTGATAAAACGTGCATGAACTGTGATAAATATGATGTAGACCCTCTTACACTATTTGGAAAATTTATACATAAGATACATTGTTTCAGTGTAGAACATTATAATCACTTTATTTCTCCATTTCATTACAATATGCCTTGTACAAAATAGAAACTTCAAACAATACCTGGCTAATGAGACACAAGTTAAAAGCCAGCTTACAGTTTAACCTGTCCTTAAAAAGCCAAAAAAGTAGTCTTACAATATATTTTTATTTTTCACAAAAAATCGCAATAAAGAAGACATGAAAATAAATGGACAGGTCGCAATACATGCTGCCCAAGAAATAAGAACTTTGAAAAGTATCCCCTCAACTTGATACCATGCAATTATAGAGATGTATACACAAATGTGAGTACACAAGTAAACTTAAAACTCTGAACTTAAAGAAAATCAAGTGCATATTAAAGTGGAATAATGTTGGGTTCAAATTCTGATAAATTAAGTTTAGTATTTTAAAGTTAACTTCCTTTCTTTAATGATTTAATACCTCACCAGTGAACAAGTGCTTTAAGCTTATTTTGTGGATTTACCATTAGAAAGGATTCTAAGTCTAGTTTATATGTTCTAGTTCCTGACAAAGTGAACACACAATTGTTTTTGCAGAAGCTTTATTTCTTTTAATAAATTTATCAATTTGCTGAATTTTAAGTTATGTATTTAGCTACTTAAATGACAGTGAAAACAGTTATGTATTACAATAATAAATACAACATAAGATTAATAATATCTAATCGTTAAGCTTGTTTTATTCATATTTTTAGTATGATGTTGTGCTGAACATACAATTAGACTGTAGGAACAATAGTTATTTACCCTGCCAAAAGCTACTCTACAGACAAAACTACCCAGTTAACATTAGTATTACGTAAACACTATTACATTCAAAATGAAAACAGAGAATTTCCTTTCTATATTCAACTTTGCTCAATTATTTCATAATGTAACATAAAACTTTCAGTATTTCAAGGGTCTGGGATATCCGAGAGGATATTGTATATTAAAAGCTCCATTTTTTTCAATTTTACTGAAAGTCTTCCTTCTCATACCAATTAATTTCAATATTCTAAGAAGTCTAGTTGTACCTCATTATAGAGTGGCAGCCTAAGTAATTAACTATAAATTATGAGGTTTGGCTTCCATTTCTTTGATATATGTTATTCAAGTGAGGAATGTCCAGGTTTTACTTGGAGCCTTACATCACAAAGGTCGTATTACATGCTGTTCTTGTGACTTACTTCCACAAAACTTTGGAATAATACTATCTTAAAGTATTGTTGTTCAAAATTGGGCTAAAAGAAATCTTGATTTAAAGTTCCATTTCAACATATATTTTTCACTGTTGAAAAAAGTAAATGTATAATTATAATGTAGACAGAGTTTTACAAGTTACATCAATTCAAATTTAATAAAAAAATATATGTTGCCATGTTTCTTTTTTTTTAATTATTCAATTCTATGTTGCTTATAAAATACATTTTTGGCCAAACCAAAATAAACTCTTTTGGGTCTTTTCAAACCTGAGCAATTTGGATGATAAAACACACTAATTTTCAAGACTGGTTTTAATTAATGATGAATTAAAACAGCTATAAAGTTTATAAATCAATAAAATATCACACAAAATACACTTCCAAAGGCTTAATGAACTTAATTTTTGTTACATAAAACAAGGAAAAAAAAACAACAGACATTGTTTAAGTTTTTTGTATTCCCATATCTAAACTGACTTGATTTCAGATTCATTTGTTTAATGGAGTCAAACAAATAAGCATCAGACTGTACACATTCTTGGGCAATATATTTTGCTACTAAAAATAATTTGTAAGCAAAAATTCATTTAATATTTTGCTCTAATGTGTCACAAATCTACATTGATAAATACTGAGGTTTAAAATATGTGTGGGTGTGCTGTAAAAGTAGCTTCTACAACTTAGCAACCCATAATATTAAACAAATTTGGGCAAAAGCATCTGATTTATTGAACTCATCTTTACACCTGAACCAGACCAAATAAAATAAAACCCAAATATTCATTAAAAAGTATGTCATCTTTGCAGGGTCTGTGGGTAAATGGAAGAATGTTTTAAGTGAATTAAGTAATAGCTAAGTGTTGCAAAAACAAACAAACAACATATTTAATAAAGATAAATACATTGGTGACTGTATAAAAAATCTTCTGATTATTTTGGTACTTTCGTTTTAGAAGGATCATTCACTTTTCATAGTGAAATTCATCCAAAATTATGATTTTGTAAAACTTCTTAATTACATATAATAACAAATGATTAACAAGCAAACAAATCAATAGGGCATTAATACCAATGTCTGGCTTCTCTCTTACTATTACAATCACATGAAATTTTATATTCTTGGCTACATAAATCAAAGGCATCACGAGATATGTTCAAAACACTTACTGCATACAAATTTCCTCAAAAATTCATGTTCTAGATGTTAAAAAGTTTAACAAGGGTTTCAATGACCAGTAAAACTTTGGCAAAGTTGTACCATTTCCCTTTTCAATTCTTGTAGTGGCAAGTTAAGTTAATGATATTTATCACATTTAGTTTTGATGTTACTATATCTGTACATAAAATACTAAAACTTAAAGTAAATCAGTTACAAAAATGTCCACAACCCTAATGTTCGGAGTTATTAAAGTGCTTACTGGTGGCAAGATTCATTTTAAAGCACGTTTGTACTCACATTCATGAACTCAAAAAAACATCTGCATACTTTCAGAAAGCATGTAGAAAAATAAGTGCTTCATTATTTTGTGCACTTTTCATTCATTGACCCTAAAAAAAAAGGCATGCTGAGGAATTTAACAGAAGTGATATGTTGTCTTTATAAACTATACATGTATAAGAAATTCTGGTTTTGTAAATATATTATCATAAAGATTTAGTTAAGAGATATAGTGACACTAGATATATCCTAACCTTCTAACTACACAATTATTGGTATATTACACCTTTTGGTGTTGCACTCACATAAAATTTCTAAATTTTAATTTATCATTTAAAAATTTTGTAGATCCTTAGTTTAGACTTTAGGTTACTAGAATCCACTGCTGCCATGTTAAATGATATTAAACGCTATTAATTTAATGATATTAAATTATTATATAATTTAAATTATGCCCATAAGCATAATAAATTACCCAGGTTAATAAAATTTAACTTTGAAAGGTAGGAAATGCACCTTTTTCTTTCACTTGAGGTTTTTTTCTTTGTGAGAACTCCTTAGTGGAAAAATAATGTGCTATTTTCTCTTTAAAATGTCAACCTTCATAGTACAATCCATTTATTTAGAGTGAATGAGTTTTACCCCGGTGCTTCTGTATTCAACTGCTTCCTGTCCATCTGTATCTAATTAGAATTAAAGCCACTTAGCCCTGCATACTCAAGATTAGAATATTTTAAATGATAACATTCGGAAACACAGACTTTGTGGAGATGAAAGAGTGGAGTATAATAATGGATCCCCTCTTTAAATTCCATATAAACAGATGCCAGTATGTACTATAAATAACATAAAATAGATAATTACAAATCCAGATACAGTGAATATTGTCCAACAAATAAAACCTGCCATCTTTGAACATTCCCTGTATCATTAAAGGCCCAAATTCTCATTAATATTTCAAACTGAAAATAATATTTTAAGTACACAGCAACAAATATTTGAGTAAGTCATATGGAAACTAATATTTAAATACAAGATAAATAACTCCCGTCAAATACGCAGCCACAAGTAAATCCTTATTAATTTCAGCATCACTCCAACTAATGAATTTAATAAAGCACTATACAATGAATACATAATATATATATATATATATGGAGAGAGAGAGAGAGCTAAGGCAATAACAGCTTGAAGATACAGCAAACTGAATTATAGAAATAACCTAGATTTTACATAGTAACATGTACGCAGTACTTTTCTCAATTGTGCCATTCCTAACAACTATTCTACTAAAGCAAAGTTGAGAAATATTGCCTGGATATAGAATGTTCAGTATATTATACAGTTATACCATGACCAAGTTAGTATAAATCTACTTGTGACTTGGCCTTCAAACAAGTTTCATCTTAAGGATGGCAAAGTATTATCATTAAAACACTGATGAACTCATCTGCTAAACATAATGTAATCTACAAATTTCTCACTAGCTACTGCTTAATGATATCAGCTTTTTCACTAGGTTCCAATGATTTTCAAGACAGCTTCACTAACAGCTTATACATTGACTCATCCAATATAACTTCATTAAATGCTTTCCTGTATCTACTGAAGATGTATCAACATTTGTTTGCTAATGTAAATGAAAGAAAATATTGTAAAATTAAGTGATATCCAAATAGTTCTGAAAGTTCAAATGTTTTGATTTGAAATACTGGATTTCTTGTTAACTTTAATATCATCCTGGTGTAATTATACAGTAACAATACATGTCGTTGAATCAACTTTAAAGATTATACAATAATTAGTAAATGAATTACATAACTACAAAATAGGAGCACATTACTTCCATCATAGCTATAATCATAAAATACTTCAAAATTATAAAGTTATCAAATTTATTATACATATTAGGTGCCAATTTAATCAAACTAAGTTTGATTTTAAAGCATGTAGTAGATGCTACAGCATTAACATCATATTTTAGCAAACATCTTAACTTAATATTTGATTTTATGTATCTTCTAACATCTCAGCTTATGCCTTTATCATAGACACCTTACCAAGTACAGAATATATAGGTGGTAAGGTGTTCTTGATAAAGAAATAAGCTGAAATGGTAAATAATAAAATTAACCAAATTTCCTAAAGTTAGTGATCATTTATCTTCACCACATAACAGGTCAAGGTTTGTTGAAGTAGTTTGTAACTTCACTAAAATTACAAGCTAATAATACTGCAGAGTTTGTGAAACAAATCTTCAGACCAATAACATTTCATGCTCTTGATCTTACTATGCATGTAATACTAGAGTGAAATAAGTGAAACCGAAAACACTCAGCACAAGTCACTTTGAGATTGTACCTTGTATCTCTTTTTTTTTGTTTTAGCATTACTTTATATTATCAATTACCACACAACATTTTAAAACTTGAACTCATTACATTAAAATTATCATGTTTACTTTCTACGACTGTAAGACATACAGGGCAAAAAGGATTTTAACTTTTAATCTTTACTTTATAGTAACATATGTACCTGGGCCATAAGACTGCCAACTATTAATTTACTGCACTTGATCTTTAGGGGTATAGTTACCAAAACCTAAATGTTCTAATTTGAAAAAAAAAAAGTGATAATAGTTAAAATACATAATACAGTGACTGTTTATGTCTCTTTAGGTACTACCCTCTATCTTACAGTATTATGTGATTCGGTAATTCATAAAAAATAAAATTAAAACAAAATACTTTTCACTCATATTTTTTTCACTTTCTTTGGTCCCATTAAAAATTAATCTTTGGTGAAATGAGCTTGTTTAGAAAGCTATTTTACAGTATATATATATATATTAATCTGTACATAGTTTGACTAATGTTTACTCTGGATCACCAGAACAATTTAATATAAAACATTAAGTACATCAGTAAAGAAACGTATACAGATTTTGTTATATTTTATGACAAATTTTGCTACTCGGAGATGTAAAATTTGACGTATTCAGAAACTTTATCAATGTGGCGTGTAGGGCACTTCAAATGTTGTTCGTGCTAACAATATAAAACATATACAGATTACAAAGTCAGTTTTATTTGCTCTAAAGACATGTTTCTGAACAATGGTCTGTTGAAATTAAGAATTTACTTGATACGGAGTTATTAATTATAAAATGATACACTAGCACTATCACTATGTATTATTTACTTTGCATTGTTTTATTAAGCCTTACTGACTCTTGCAACAGTCAGATTAGAGCTTTGAATACAATAAAACTTGTTCTCTTTCATCTATCTGAATAAAACTTTCTGTGCTAGATTTTACTTCCATTAGTGAATATAAGTAAAAGAATTATGTTTAATTACTTTAATTATAAGAGTAATTCAAAAGATATGTTAGTCCATTAAATAAATAAAATAGTCAGTTATTTTGTTTGAATTTTGTAAGAACATTACAAATTTTGTTCAAACAAGTAAGGTATCATGTTCAAGCTAATCCTGACTAGACTGTATTAGAGACTGATATAATAGTTGTTCAAAATTAAATATAATTTACTTAGTACAACAAATGTAAAACTGTATATGTTTATATTATTCTTTCTGTAACACCTATTACCATCTTTATGTGGACTCTAATTGTAGTGAAGTGATAAATTATTCATGTTAAGTAATTCCACCAATAGGGGAAAAAAAAGTTTATTTAATAAATTAATGTTGAAAGATAGTGCCAACACTTGAAGGTAATATTTGTCTTAGAAAACAATGGGATAGTCTAAACAAAAACAAAAGTACCTAGCTAAACATTTCTTATATAGTATAATAGTGGGTAAATTAAGAAAAATAATTATATGATACAATTTAATGTGTACACTATAATACTGTTACTTTTCTTAAATAAGAGACAGATAATGCATTGATCATGGAAGCAATACATTGGCACACACATTCTTGGTGCCATTACAAGATTACAACTTCTTAAAGACAGATGTAGTAAAACACTTAAGTGTTCATTATCGATACTGATTACATTTATAAGAAACTCCTTACACTAAACGTACTTTCCAGAACTTTACTGACAAAATTGTCCAATTTTTTTTTCAAAACTGTGTATTCATATTTTCTTCAGGATTTTAGTTATTTTACTAATTGTTTTAGCATTTTTGCTTCTCTTTCTATAGAAAAATTACAAAGCACATTCCTTTCTACATAACATATCAGTCTTATACAGTTTAATAACACTTCTGCAAACATTTTGGATAACATATGGCAGCGCAATCTATATCTAGCATTTAGTGTAGATTTGAAGCTACCATCATTATATACAACAGTTTTTCCTTCGATGAGCTTTCCCATGTTCACTATGAAGACTTGAAAATAAATATGTATAAAAATCTGTTTTTTATCTATGTACAACATTATACACATAACTGTAATTAGTTAGTTTACATATACTAATACTAGGGCTAGATGTTATCAAACCTATAATGTGCAATGTAAATTATCAATTTCAAATCAATCTATTCTAGTTACTAAGTACACAAAAACTTAGAAACAAAAATACAGAATGTTATAACTGGTTAAAGTTGAGTTACACAGGTGTAAGAGACTTGCAACTCTGACCCCATGTTTTTTTTTAAATGTCAAACCTATAATCATCAGTGGCTTAAAAACTGCCATCCAATTATGGTGGAGGAGGGCACAAAAGTATCATAAGACAGGTTCCAACAAACAGTCCCACCAGCAAATATGAGAGAAAAACGTCACTACCACCATATAAGTCTGTCTGCAGCGTGACTTTGGACAGAGAGAGAAGAACCTGGACGGTATGGGCGACCTTGGCCACCTGCTCCTGCATGACGACCTCTTCCCATTTAAACAGATCTGCCTGCAATAAAAACAAAAATCAAAAAAACCTGTCTGATCAGTATCCCCAAATTAACATCTTAACTGATGTGATTTTTTTATACTAATGAGAGCACAAGAGTTAAAAAAAGAAAAGAAATAATTTTGTGTAATAATTAACTTGTAGGCAATTTCTTCATAAATAGTATTATTTGGGCTCAAGTTTCTTTTTTTTACACATTGTATTAAACAAAATTCTACATATATTCAGCCAAAACATTTACTGTAGTAAAAAGCACTTCTCAACAGAAAAATATTCAAATAATATTTTGATCTCAACAAATTTTCCTTACACTTTAAACTTGTGTATGCATGAAACCTAAGTGAATTTAATAAAATATAATACTCCCTATAAAATTCTCAAAATGTAAATACTTATATAAGAAACATTCTACAATATATTCACATTTAAATAACAACAAAAGATGATAACAGTTCACCACAAAACATGCTACAAGCGTTTTAAATGTTTATTTCACTTCTACATTAAAAGACTTAGGTACCATTATAATCCCAAAAATCCTGCAAAAAAAAAAAGAAATAAAATTAAAAATATTTATAAACTATTGATACTTTGTTCCTGTATAAACTGTTAAAACCATACAATGCATCATTTTCATTATCAAGATTAGAAAAAATTGCTACTTTAAAGTAGACAGCTTTACACAGAAGAAATGGCAGAATAAAAACTGTTCATTACAAACAAGTTCAAAATGCTACTTGAGATTTTCTTTCAACAAACAATACATCTGGTTAGGGTTGAAATTTTAATATTACTACTTTAACAGATATGACAGATCAAAAAAGGTTCATTAAATGAATTTCAAAATGGTATTTGAAATTTTCTTTCAACAAGCAATACGCCCAATTACTGTTGAAATTTTCAAGTTTCACACATTTACCCTAATAATGTTTTTCTCAGGATTTATCGAATTCCTCAGAGTATAATTTTTTTTTGCCTCCATGAATGTTCTAAGTTATCTATCTTTAGTTAATAACACAAATGAAAGATTACTTCTAAGTATAATTTGAAATATCTTCTTTAAATACAGAACTAAGTAAAGGTAAAATGTCAAAACATCATCACATGTGGCTAGGCTATGCTTCTGTGAACAACTTCAAGGTGAAAAGTATTTGTATCACTTCATATCTAAACAAGTCTTAATCTTTAGCAGTGTAGGTTTTGGTTCTGTTATCACTGACTGTATTACTGACAGAGCTGCTAAACTTTTTACTCATTTCAATCAAATTAATTGTTTGTTTTTTAAAGCAAAGCCACACTGGGCTATCTGCTGTGTCCATTGTGGGGAATTGAACCCCAAATTTTAGCTTTGTACGTCTAAAGACTTACTGCTGTCCCACTGGGGGACATCAAACTAATTTTTTTATTTTTTTAATATAAGTAAGATTTTATAATATTATAAAATTAAAATGTATATGTATATACAATTAACACAGTTCTGCAACATTAGTGTTTCCCATTAATTAACCAACCAAAAAATGTAATTATCATCACATGAAACATTTAATAAAGGATCATGAAACAGAAAATTCTTCAACACAAAACAAAATGCACATCAGATGAAATGCCACCAAACAATGCAATTCCCCCCTGCATTTTCAAATTCCTAGGTTTTAAATTTTCAATGTTTTTAAACTGCCTAAGTATTAAATTCCAAAAGTCTAAGAAACTACTATTAAGAGTTAATTCTTTAAGAAGGAATAATAATAATAAAAAAAGAAATATGAACCTGAATATATAGTGGTTACACGAACCCAATCAAATCTAATGTAAGTGTCATGATATAAAAGACTGTTTCGCATAGGTAGTATTAATTAATTATTTTGTGAGTTAATATATCATGATTGTTTAGTTGTTTATTTTATTATAAGAGAGTTAAAAGCAGACAATTATTGGAAGCTGTGTTTATAATTTATTGATGTTGAGGCTATCAAACATTGCATGAAATTTATTGATGACGAGGATGTAGAGATTTCTAGAAGGCGAGCAGACAGTGATAAATATAAAATACTGTAAGATGCGTGGAAACAACAGACAGACAAGAAAATAAAGTCAAGGAAAGTAGAAGTTTGGTCAAGGAAAGTTAAACATAAAGTTAGCACCCGTAGGAGTGAAAGGCCTAACGATTAATATGTTAGAGGAAAACTATCAGTTTTAAAAGAAATAAGAAGTATAGTTTATTCCATTAAAGCAAGTTCTAAAGTAATTGTACCAGTCGAGTGCACTTGGACAAAAGGAACAGACGATATCTGAAGCACGAGGACCAGATAATTACTGGAAGAGCAGTTTAAGACTGTGGTAACTCGCCCTATAGTGTAAAGAACATTTAACTAGTTTGGATATATATATATACTATTTTGAAAACAAGTGGAGTATGTGCTGTTTGTTTATCTTTGAATTTATTCCCAACAAGTCACAGACACCTACTGTAGAAGAATCCTTAGCCCAACACCCGTATTATTCAACCTACTTACTAAATACTACTACTATATGTAGTATTAAGAAGAATAAGCCTCATTATTTTGACAGTAAGAATCAGTAGATTTATATCTAGTTTAAAATTTTATTTAATGCTCTACTTTTTTTAACCGACTTATCAGTTTCTAGTTAAAATTCCTTTTGTAAATTATTTTTTTATTGTCTTGGTTTGACAAGTCACATGGTTTTGTTGTTTGACTGAATCTGTTTTACATTTCAAATAAGTGATTTTCTTTTATTATTGTGACTTGAAACTTTGGTTTTGTGCTGAAGAGTTCTTGATTGAACTAGTCAATTATCGTGATAAATAGGTTACTTCTGAAAAGTCAATTCTTTCTACATTATATATATATTTTTTTTATCCAGGAAAGTGTAACTTTTTTAAACAGGGTTTTAAAAACAATTTAATAGCCACAATTTTTTTTTACATCAGGAAGCTCACTGAACAACTTTGAATTCCAGTCTACTGGTTAAAGGTTGATTCAGCTAATCACACACTAAAACAGGAATACAGGACTTGTGTAATTTACACCTACCTTATGCATCATTCAGGTGGTAAGTGTGGATGGAAAAGGTAATTACAACCTCAGATACAAAGGCTATTCAAAATATTCATTGCAAATTCAAATATTTTTATGCATGCAAGTCATACATGATTACAGTAATTATTAATTTTTTAATTTCATATTTATTAATTAAATTCTATGTACATATATACTTTTATTGTACACACTGCCTAAAATATGAAGCTGATCGGTGACAAAAAGTAGGTGTTTCATGCCCTTCAGATGTGTCTGACAAAACTGAACAAGAAAAATTATTCTTTACAATAATACTTTTAACAGTAGGACTGGTGCCAACAAGATATTTACAGATCTTTATAATAGTTTTGTGTGTTTGCACAAATTCTTGGTTTTAGAGATTATGCAGTGTTATTATTTTAATTATTAATATCCATAAAACTTGTAAATACTTCAGTTTGGGTACAACATCAGTAGACCTCAAAATACGAGCCACATAAAATAAAATTCATAGTACAGGAGATTTAAATAAGGTAGAAACATTCATAAAACTAAACAATTTGTTGAGTCAACTCTAGTAGAAGTTAAGAAGTGCTTTGAAAATAGTTAATACACTAAAAAGGATCAAGTTGGGCCACAAATTTTTTATCTGCATGTAAATTACACAATTACTAACTTACATTATTAAACTGTCTGTCTTTTCAATTTTTTTATTCACAACAACAGTAAAGTTTTATTATTAAAAGTTTATTTATCCAAACTACTGTCTTGTATGTGCACATCTAAGTTAATGAAACTCCTCAGGTGTATCAAAAATTTTTTAATAACTATACATAAACTAAACATTTCTGAAAGCTTACATCAGCATTAAGTTTAAATAATACTGACCTTTGGCACACCTGTCTTCTCACAACTTTTAAGAAAGTTTTCAACATTCAAACGACGCTTGGTTACTGGTAATCTAGGCTGTAAAAGTTTTAACAGTAGAACATTACTAACATTTATTTACAAATATAAAAGCTGTATATAATTTTGTTTCTCCCTTAAATGCAAAAAAAATAAAAAATCTGTTTTAAATTTCCATTTAAAAAAAATATGTAATGGTAGTGAATAACTGAAGGAATGACTTCTTTATATATGTGACACGCATAAAAATCCTTGTTTTTTTTATCTAAAACAAGACACCCCAGCTTGCTTCATTCATAAATTCACTGCTTCATTTAATAAAATCTAATGTCCTTTTCTAACTCATGTTTATTAACTATTCCTTTATAAAACATCTCTGAATACAATACTTTTTTACTGAATGTTTTTGATTCCAGTTTAATAGTGATCGCTTTATTGAAGGAACTCATTGAAGAAATTAAACATATAACCCTTATAACATCTGCTTTCTCGTATGAAAAACATATATATATATATATAAGTTGTTAACACGTACATGTAGATATGACAATAACCTACTCTACCCAAAGTGCCTAGTGGATTTTGAATTTCTTTGGGTCTGCGCGAGTGCCATTGGGCTTGATTCGACTTAAAGTGTGTTAGGGACAAATGATTTTAATCTAAAATATATTTTTTGATAATCAGAAAAATCTTCATTTTTTGTTTTACAAATACAATGATTAAAAAGTTTTCATATGTTTACATGTAGCATAGATATTTTGAAGACATTAAATGTCTTTGCCCAAATATCAAAACGGTTAGTCCACAAATCATTAAATACATATCATCCAGACACTATCTGCTGGTGCAACTAAGATCTTGATTCATGATTTTCAGAGCATTCTTTGAAATGAAATGCAATCCAATATTCAGACTAAGCCTGCTTTTATCAATTTTTGTTGGTTTCTTGACCCACAGCCTAACCTCTAAATCTGCATATCACACAAGGTAATAGTTTAAGTTGTAAAATACATTTACATCTAGAAGTATCATTTGTTAAGAGCTACCAAAAATCCTATTCTACAATTATTGAGTAATATGATGGAAGATTATTGTTTTAAGTCTGTGAGTGGTATCTTATTTTCTAAAAATTAAAGGACTCTAGTATGATTTGCAGTGAAATATCTTATACATCACTACAAATTTATAGATTATACTCTGGACAAGGTAACTTACAAAAAAATTATAAAAGCAGATTCAGACCTTAAATTTTAGAGTAAGTTTGAATTTTAATAAATCCTTGTTTATTAAAACTAGCAACTTTTAGTTTGTTCTATGTCAGAAACTAATAACATCAGAAAACTAGTAAATAGCTGGCAAATCCTAAAACTAATAAATCTGGTTTTTAAAGGTTCATGAGCAACCTTAAAGTTGCCATAGCATTACTTTTTAAGTCAAAATAAAACTTTGAGCTGGAGCTTGATTTCTTTGTTTTAGGTGTTGTTTTGGAAGCTGTTCTACCATTCAATGGGTTCTTTCAAATTAATTGGTAAAAATGATAAAAAGTCCAATCCACAAAGTGATAAGTTAATTTATTTCTTAAATAAATGTGTAATACAACAACATTCAGTTGAAGGCCTAATTTCATAAACAAACTTTTCAACATAAACTTTGCAACTAAATTTAGGCCTAACATAATTAGCTTAGAGATATAAACACTTAACTCGCCCAGTAACTGCAGAGTAGAATAAACACAATAATTTCACCACTAACACCGAAATGAATTGCTATATGATTACTCATTGAATCCTCCATTAACTGACAATGAACTCATTTATAATGTACCATTCTTTCTATACATTAGAAAGTTTCTCAATTATTACATCACCTCAAACTTTCTAGATATTGCATCCTCATTTTGATTAGCATAGAGAATATAATTTACAACATTACATAGCCAATGTAGCTATGTTAGCAAAATTATGAAAATCAAAAGTATGAAACATGTTGTAACATTTTCTGTAATAACCAAGCTAGGCCTACTGACAGTGTATAATATTATTAAACTGAATGTAAATACTACATGTCAAGTTTTTAACATTGTTAACAGTATCATATATCAAGTGTTTTTCTTAATGAAAAGAATGGAAACATTCACTATAACTTCCAATATATTGCTAGTATAACTGTCTTAAATGTGAATGTAAAAATATTAATACAAGTAACTGAATGAAAAACTGTATGTATAATCTTAAACATTTCCATGGAACACTTAAAATCAACCTTAAAAACTACTTTATGGAAGAGGCACGTGGATGATACAGTTACTATTTGTTCAGATGGACATGACATCTTAACAGAAGTCCTAGCATCCACACTGTAAATGCATATATCCAGTTTACTGTTCAAACAGATCATTTCCTTTCCAGATATGATCACAACCTCATTACACACATCTACAGAAAATCAACTCACACAAACAGGTACCCAAACTTCAAGTCTAACCACGTATACACACACTTGGTCAAACAAGGACTATTAAGGAATAAGAAAATCTGCAATGATATTACTAGTTCCACACAGCTTGGAGTGTTTTCACTTTAAGAAGTGATATAGGCATTCCCTCTTTGGTACTTCAGATACAATACAATCATAAGAATTCAGTATCTATTGAGGATATCTTACTAAAGCTGACTTGTTAGTGATTTTTCTAATTTTCTAAAATGTATGCCTATTTTTTATAATTTTATGTTTAATAATTTTATTAAGCTGGCTAACACCATATAGGTTTTATAATTCATTTTTATCTAAATTCAGTGACTTTTCATAAAATCCTTACTGATCAAAATGGTGTCACTTTAGCATCTATAGAATTAGTGGAAATAAAGCTATAACGCAACATTTCGTAAAAAAGCCTACCTAAAATTGTATTATATAGTAAAGAAAAAATTGCACTAATTTAACTCTCTCCACATGGGCTCGGTCAATTTGACTGACTACGTGACCTTTTTGTACTCGTTTAAAGTCTTTATAGATATAATACTCCTATCTTTCAATACCTTTGATGGTGCTACCAGTGAAAGAGAAATCGCCAATGTATTTGTTTGTAAGTATGAGCGCCTGTATAACTGTCTCATACGAAGAAGAGGATATGGCCACCTTGGTATGGGAACTGGATGAGCAAATTCGTCAGTACTGCTGCAGTGACCAGTGTTATGACGGCCACTTCGTTACGACTGACCTAATTGATAATGCCATATCCCGCCTTAACTCCGGTAAGAGAGACGGTGACGGATTATCTTCTACCGACCATATCAAACATGGAAGACTGGTATTACGCACACATATAACCATTTTGTTTACGGTAATGATGCGTCATAGTTACATCCCGGTGATATGTTGGCATCGACCATCATACCTATTTCAAAAAGTATGAGAAAATCGCTGAGTGACTCAGGTAATTATAGGGCCATTGCCTTAACCAGCCCATTAAGTAAACTTTTTGAGCTTATAATATTAGAAATGAATGCTGAGTCACTGGTTACAACCAATCTGCAATTTGGTTTTAAGCAGAAATCTTCGACTACACAGTGTACTTTTGCTGTACAAGAAGTAATTCAGTATTACTTAAATAATGACACGTCCATGTTTTTGGATGCGAGTCAGGCTTTTGACCATCTCCAGTATATTAAACTGTTTAAACGATTATTTGAGAAAGGTTTATGTCCTTTAACATGTAGAGTACTGTTATTTATGCATACAGGACAGGTGGTGCAGCTTCGTTGGGGAGAGATTCTTTCAGGTCGATATCTGTGTCCAACGATGTCAAGCAAGGCGGAATTCTATCGCCTGTGCTTTTTTCAATCTATGCTGATATGTTACTTACTGAGCTACGTAATTGTGGTCAGGGTTGCTACATTGGCAGAACATTTGCAGGAGCGATCGCTGATGCTGATGACATAATCCTTTTAGCTCCGTTAAGAACTGGGTTATTGAATATGTTGGAAACTGACGAACAAATAGGCAAGGACCTTAACATTAAGTTCAATCCAGCTAAATGCCAGTTTTTGAAATTTAGGTGTCCTACTTCAGTTAGTAATGATAATGTAGAACAGCCTATACTGTTCTGTGGCATGATGTTTCCATTAAGCGAATCAGCTGTACACCTTGGGCATTACATTGGCTTTAATTACAGAGTAAATTCCATTCAGAAAAGCGTGAATGAATTGTACCAGAGATGTAATTCATTAATATCTAAATTTTCACATTGTTCATATGATGTGCGATACAGTCTGTTTAAACTATATTGTATGTGTTCATATGGATCGAATCTTTGGGATTTTGTGCATAAGACAATCGAAAGTTTTTATTGCATTGCGCATGGCAGAAATGCATTTGTTGCATTCTCATGGTGCCATATGACACTCACTGTGACTTGTTACCTAGAATTGTGGATGATCATCCCATAGAATTTCAAATGCACAAGCGTTTTGTGAACTTTATGAACTCCTGCCATTTGTCTGAAAACGAGCAAGTCAGATTATGCTATAGGATGGCTGTAAATGGCAGTGGATCTCCTGCTGGGAATTCCATCAGTCAAATTTGTTGTAAATGCAATCTTTACCGAAATTTCTTCGATGTAAAAAGCCCCAGACTTCAGGGAGACATCAGGAGGTGATGACAGGGAAGATATAAATATTATTATTTCTCACCTGTGTACATATTAATTATCTGTATAACTAATGATGTCTGTAACTGTATTAATTGTATCTATGAATGGTACGAATATATATATATATATATATATCTTCACAAAATTTGGCAGTCTTTCAGTTAACATTATAAGTCTTTCACATACATAAAATCATATTTTTAGTGAGGTATTTTTAATAAACTAAAATATAGAGATGTTCATCAATATATTGAGTATTTGTTTTGAATAATCCATGTGCAAAGTGATTTTTCATGTTATGATTAAAAATATTTTTTCTTCATTTCAAAAATCCCAAAAT